TCACGAAGTTGTCGGAGTAAGCGTCTTAAATTTCAAACATGTGTAAGTTGAAACGGGAATTTTTGTTGTTGTAACATTGTGTGTTGGAATTTATTTTGAAATATTATAAAAAATAAAAAGTATCCTTTTTGTAGTTAATCAGTTTGTGAAATAGCACGTGATACTTACGTCACGAGAAGTGACCAATGGGCACTTTGTTCAGAGGTGCGAGCCTATAAATACTGAAAATTTGAAATGCTCGCCAGCACATATCACTATAACACTTACCGATATAACAAAACTTACCAAAACTTACAAGAATGATGGAGTGGGTTAGCGTTGCATGTTGGAGGGCTGTTGAGGTTGTCAGGCCTGGGATTAGGGCTGTCCTCAGTGTCTTCGGGCTCACTTTGATGCCCGAAGGCAGGCCAACTTTTGGTAAGAACTTGAAATTATTGAAATGCTTTACTTACCCCACCCACTTGTACCCGCCATTATCGAAACGAACGTGAAGAAGTATTTTTCTGGCATCATATGATATCATTGCGTTAATTTGTAACATGCGTTTGTGTAATAAGAACGCATCCCGTTTTTTCTGAACCATTTATTTATCTGTTTATGTACAGTTACAGGGTCAGTCTGACACTGGCAAGACCTTGGATGATTTTTTAAGATAAGGTCAGATGGTGGCAATACCTTCATATAACAGGTCTAGGATTTCATGATATTTGTAGTCTATGAAATTATTGAAACTGTTTATGAAAAATGTATAATATTCACCAGAGGGGTTGGCAGTATTCAGAGATATATCCATAAGATAACTTTAAAGATATTTTTATCAGTAAATTTAAATTTTACAGTCAAATATGCAACTAACAATTCAAAACTTAAGGTGATTCCGCTTTGCCATGTTTGTTTTCACCAAGTCTGTCCAAAGTGAAAGTAGGCCAAAATTCATATAACAAAAAAGATTACAATGTAAAATGATGAACCATTTGAAAGTACACTTCCAGGTCTATGTTTTAAAGACTATTAAAAAAAAAATAAAAATGATAACAATAAGAATATTTACCTTAAATGTGCTACATTTCTGAAATTTTAGTTTTTCTGAAAATGTCTTCAGAAACTTTTGATTTAAAGGAATTGTCCATTTCTTAGTCAAGAAATTGGTGCAATAGATTAGAGCTTCTAAAATAACTTTAAAGGCACATTATACCTCAGAAACAAATAAATTTTTACTTTGGAAAGGCAAACATGAATTTTATCAGGTCTAGGATTTCATGATATTTATGGACTGTCCATAAATTTGTAGATGGTCTAGAAATTTACAGATGTTTGATGTAAAATTTGCTGTTTTTAGTTTTACACTAAAATCTGCAGCTTAAGACAAGTTGTTTTATTGATTGTTTATATTTACAAAGGTAATGGGGTGAGTTTCATCTTTGTATGATGATTTTGAAATTTTTGTTAAAAGGGAAAATTGAAAGTTTTTTTGTGGTTTTTGTGCTCTGCCTTAATTAAGATGATATCTGTTAGTGAATTAATATACATTGTATATCAATTATTTCTTCGTTTTCATATTGTAATTAAGTAATATTAAAAATCTATATTTCTCTATACAGCTAAAATGTTATGAATGGTATATATAAAAAAATATTACAATTAAGGTAATTGTTTCCAGTTTATATTAACATTAGCGCAAAAGGAAAACATGTTTTATATATGAGATTATTTCTCAAACCATTCCGATTAGCTTACACAAACTATTTTATACTTATAATTGTCTATAATATTAAATATAGAGTTAGAGTAATCCACAATCCGCCTTATGTCATGAACATGATTAATACATATATATGTAGATCTAACTAGTATTAGAGCAATGTTTAGATTTTTAAATACAAATCTGTTCAATATGAAAATGCTTATATATACGACATGTTTAGGATGATAATGATGCAGAAATATATATAGAAAATTAAATAGCAATATTTAATTTGAAAATATACATGGTCCGCCTCGTCTCGAGTCACGGTCCGCCCTGTCCCAAAATATGGTCCGCCCCGTCCAAACATACAGTCCGCCCTGTCCCACGGTCCGCCCTGTCCTACGACCATTTTCAATGTGGCATCCTTCAGTACATAAACTTTGGACAGAAAAACTACTCTCATTCAAAATATTTTGCATTTTGGTAGTCAATGATTTCATGATTTTCATTCAAATACATGTACTTCCTGACAAACCCAGAAAAGCATGGTGTTATCCTGACACTCCCCACATAACACATACAGCATTTACCACCTCTTCATGTGGCTGATCTCCTGACACTCCTCACAGAACACATACAGCGTTTACCACCTCTTCATGTGGCTGATCTCCTGACACTCCTCACAGAACACATACAGCGTTTAACACCTCTTCATGTGGCTGATCTCCTGACACTCCTCACATAACACATACAGCGTTTACCACCTCTTCATGTGGCTGATCTCCTGACACTCCTCACATAACACATACAACGTTTAACACCTCTTCATGTGGCTGATCTCCTGACACTCCTCACATAACACATACAACGTTTACCACCTCTTCATGTGGCTGATCTCCTGACACTCCTCACATAACACATACAACGTTTAACACCTCTTCATGTGGCTGATCTCCTGACACTCCTCACATAACACATACAACGTTTAACACCTCTTCATGTGGCTGATCTCCTGACACTCCTCACATAACACATACAGCGTTTACCACCTCTTCATGTGGCTGATCTCCTGACACTCCTCACAGAACACATACAACGTTTAACACCTCTTCATGTGGCTGATCTCCTGACACTCCTCACAGAACACATACAACGTTTACCACCTCTTCATGTGGCTGATCTCCTGACACTCCTCACAGAACACATACAACGTTTACCACCTCTTCATGTGGCTGATCTCCTGACACTCCCCACAGAACACATACAGCGTTTACCACCTCTTCATGTGGCTGATCTTGTAAGATACGGGATGTCAACCTGTTGTTTATTTTAAACATATTTTATTTGAAACACCTGCACAAAAACATATTTTAGATACAATGATTATTATATAAAATATAATGATGAAAAAGAATCAGATCCGAAAGCATACACAATTCTTAAAAAGGTCTTTTCCCAACATATATAATTACTGTAAATTTAGAGGATATTTCATATATGAATGGAGGACAGTTTAACACTGGGAAGGTCTACCCAGAGTAAAACTTAGTGATTTGTGAAATTTAAGTTGCGTTTTATTTTTTCTGGTAAATTCATTCCTCGTTGGTAAGAAGTCCGGTAGTTAAAAGCGCATGTTAACTTAGTGCTTTAGTTTTCTAAAAAAATAATTTGAGAATGAACCAGTAATTACATTATTTTGATTCAAATAGTAAATTAAGCATTTTTTATATTCAATTTTTGTTGGAAACAATATACATGTACCAGACTTTGCTAGAAATCTGATTAAATTTCCTTTAAGGTTTTTCATAAGCCATTGTAAAATTATTGTTGAAGTGGCTCATATTACAAATTTTTTTATTTGAGGTCTTAGTAATCACAGAGACATATAATATTTTAACATCTCTGGTAATCGTATAAAATATAACACTATGACTTGATTTCATTTGATAAATAGAAAACAATTAAATCAAGGTTGCAATTACCTGAACCCAGATATTAAATACTTGCATGTCAATATAAACGTGTTAAAACTGAAAAAAAGAGCACAACTCTTCCATCTATAAGTGGTTTACAATGAAAATAAAAATTAACCAACGTTTTGACGAAACATACTTGCATGCTAAATCTTTAAAATCCTTCACAAGTTATTCTGCTTAAATGCTTTATTATATTAAATAATGAGCTGACTGCAGTGAAAATGAAACTTGAGCTGTGTTTTAATATAACAACAAATACAAACGATCACTAAAATCCTTCAAAAGTTATTAAACTTATTGTGTCGGCATGGCCGAGTTGTTAACGCGTTGGACTAGTAATCTAATGATCGCTAGCCGCATGGGTTCAAACCCTGTTTACACTCATAGCTCAGTACAAGTTGGTTCCAGGAACGGATTTCGAAAGTGTGTCTATAAGTTTGTAGCTTCCTACACAATCGAACTAAAATAAATTCTGTATAAACCAAGTTATTATGCAGAAAGCAAAGGCATGAAAATACTGTGTATGACAAATATATATCATGTCAAGAACTATTCTAATAGTAAATCTTTCTTAAAAATTAAATCAATAATTACAATTCATTTAAATTATAAATATCTAGATCTGCCAGTGTCCTGTCTGCACTTTTTTTATACGAGATATATAATCCATCTATGAAGTTTCAAGCAAGTAAAAGTATAAAAAATAACAAATAACCATAGCTCAAAAATATGCAATAGATAGTTATGTTTTGGGGCACTCTGGATTTCTCATCAATGAGATTTGTCTATTTGTGAAATTACAACTTGATACCTTCAATGTGTCGAGTTATGTTCTGGTAAAAAAATCAATATCAAAATCTAAATTATACAGGGCATTAACTCCAAATTAATGCTGAAGAGATTTACATACATGGATCTTGAGCATTGCATTTCTCCTCAATGAGATTTCTCCATTAGTGAAGTTTCAAAATGGTACCTCTAAAGATTAAATGAGTTATGGACAGGCTAATAATAAAGTAAGAATCAGAGGACAATTACACAAGAATTATGTAGAGAGAGTTATGGTTCTTAAATACTGCATTTCTTCTAAATGATATTGGTTTATGAAATAATTCAAATTGATTCACGTATTGTTTTCGAGTTATACCAAAACCAAATGGTCAGCAGGACAGACAGATAAGCTGATTCCAGTATTTGACTGCTTACAGTCAATTTATTTTAGAGAAGTTATTCTAGTCTGTGTTTACACTGCACATCATTGTAAAATTAAATTCTTGGAAAACATCTTCATCCGCTTACAATTATAGATTATGGATGTCATATTTGAGATCTTTAAGTCTTTTAGAAAGAAATATCTTTACTTTTGTCAGGTTTTATAATACAGTTCAATGTCACAATTTGCTAACAATACAAGAAAATAATCTGTTTACTGTAATACAATTTCATTTAGAATATGTTTCACATCTACTGCATCTTTTTTGTCATTGTTGAGAAATTGAATATCCACAAATTCTTTTCCATATACTTGAAGCAAGAACAGTTGCCTTTAAAAGCATTTTATGATTATAAATTCCTTTTAAAGTTTGAGACATGCTGTTAGTTATAACTGTTATAAATATCTTTATTGCAAGGTTCTAAGGCATCATGATTTATCTTCCATAGCTGCTAAAGTTTCTAATGTCATCTTCTGTTTCTTGGCCTTTTTCCTTTTCTTTTTCTGTTTAATCAGATTCACTTCTTCAACAGTTCTTTTCTTTTTCTTTTTACATGATAAAGGATTTTTTCCTTTCATTTTATGTTTTTTCTTCTTCTTTTTTTCAGGTTCTTCACCAAATGTTTCTCGTTTGAGCTCCTTTATTTGGTTCATAGCAAAGTCTGTGGGAGCAAGTTTTCTCTCCAATTTTTCATTAGCAACATTTTTAGACATGTCTGCTGGTGATTGAAGAATTATTGTGTTAAAGGCTATAAATATCAACGGTACACCGGACAGTGATCGTAACAACTCGGTAAATTCTGGATCCTGAAATAGCAAACACAAACAAAATTGAAATAAAATGGTAAAATTCCAAAACAGATATAACAACTGTACCATTTGAAAAATATTTGTTTTTATTTATATTTTTTTGATGGAACTAGTACCAATAAAATTAATCTTTAATTCATTAGGAGAATGTATGAAAATTGATGTCAATTTTACTATTTCTGAATGTATGAAAATTGATTTTAATTTTACTATTTTTATCTGTTGTGATTATGAAACACAATGACTTTTTTAAAAACATAATAGTTTATGACTGATGTGAAATCACCATTTATTCTAACACAATTGTTTTTAGTTTTTTATGTGTTAAGGAAAATTAAAAAAAACAAACTAAACAGTTATACATTTTACATGATGAAGCTAATGTGGTAAAAAAAACAGCAACAGAAAGTGTCATTACTCAAGGCTTTCAACTGCTTTTATTTTTGACAACAGAATGGAACAATTTACACAATTTTGTAAAGGACTACCTAATGATCATTGCTGTACAGTTTCATAAAAACCTTAAGAAGTGGGAAGAAGATATTGTTCAAAGGCTTTCTTATTTTTAGCTCTGGCTGCCATCTTGTTCAGCAGACCAAAACCATTTTAGGACATTTTATACAGGAGACCACCCAAGAATAATTCCTGTACAGTTTCATCAGTATTGGCCAAGAAGGTAAGGAGAAAATTTTGTAAAAAAAAAAAGAGTTAACACCAGTCAACTGACGATGGATGGAAGACATTGAGGTTATCACAATATCTCTCCATGTATTGTGATTTTGTTATATATAACATAAACATTGTGCTTTACCTGAGTAGCAACAAAGAATTTGTGTTTATTTCTTTTCATGACTGATCTTATACAATGTGGGGCTGGTTTTGGAGAGTCATGTCGACATGGCTGGACGTGGAACTGCCGTAAAACTTTCAGTGGTCCATATAAAAGAGTTCCTGCAATCACAATGCAAATATATATGTTAAACATTTTAACCTTATGTATGGCTATAACTTGATTAACAGTACAATATACTACTAATGAACTTGATGCAATGCAAGTTTGAGCATTTATTTAGTACATTAAAATAAAATCTTAGGCTTAAATAAGACAGCTCATTTTAATATTTGTCATTTAAATTATTTTGTTTCATTTAATATCAGATACAACACAGTCAAATTAGATAAAACAAAATAAAACTCATTTACATTTATAAAAGCACTTAAATCAGACAAATTTAACTGCTCTTTAAATGTCCATAAAAATCATTAAATATAGGTAAAATGATTATTACTATACACACAGTGTCATGTTTTATGCTTGAAATAAATTTTGTATTTTTAAAAGAAAAACAACAAGCTGTTCTATGTTAGAAAAAACCTACCTAAAGCTTCGCATTCTGCTAGCACACATTTTGTAGTAAAATATTTACATTCAGCATCTAGGTATTTTGGCATCTGGTCCATTATATTAATCTTGTTTTGAAGGGCTCCCTTACAGAATGTGCCATCAATTAGAATACTATATGGAGGTTCAAACTTGAAAAAGTTTTTGTAAAAAAGGAGACATTTCTTGCGATTCTTCTGGCGTTTCCCTTTCATTGTTGAGTAATGTTAACTGAAATAAATTAATAAAAAAATATATGTTTACTTGAAACCACAAAATGTAATTTCTTATTAATGTGTACATACGTAATTGAAATGATAAAAATTCAAAAGGTGTTCAAATTTTACTTGCAGATGTCTATATCAATCTTAATTGTACAACAGTCTAGAATATATTTTCATTTGGATTTAACATAAGTTTGGCAGAGATATATCATAGACAATAGTTGACTCGTGGAGAGATCAAAGCCTTGAAAACCTAGGTAGAGACAGTGTCAATTTGTAAATAGACTTTCAAATTACACCTGTGACAAACCCTAATTTATCTGTGCTGAATTGTTATTCACCTGTGGCAGATTTTATGTTTTGAATTGCTATTATGGCAAATCATTACATCAATCATTAAGTAAAATATCAATTAAACAAGGACCCCACTATTTACATTATCTTGTAACATTCAAAGATTCTGCATATAACTTTAGGTTACAGTGTGTTGAACACCCTCAACCTAGAACTAAAAGTTATTGCAGAAACTTTTTCCACTACTTCAGTATGTGTAACTTACAGCCTGACACATTAAAATGTTATTTATTACAATGGATCATTCCTGTTAGAATTGTATGATATTCTTGTAGTAATTGAATATTTTATATCAAAACCTTGCCATACACTCATTCTTTTGTATAATTTCTTTTATGTCCTATCTGTCGATTCTGTGTTGTTATCATATCATGTAATTTTGTAAGTCTGCTTTAAAAGTTTTTCAGCACTTGTGACTTAATAAATAAATATAACATGACTTGATTTTGACATCAGGGTCTTTCAAATAGAATGGTCTGGAGATGGGCTGATTTTACAAAGAAAAAATGTTTTTAAATTGTATCATGTAAAGATTTTATAATCTTTCACACTGAGTGCATTTTCAAAATGGTGTCGTTTGTTGGCAAAAATTCTGAGCAAACAATCTATGTTTTTCATCAGATTATTGCTTTATAAACATTATTTTCTGCAATATTTATCTTTTTTTCACAAGTTTAATTAAAGGTTTTTAAAGAACATCATGTTGTTAGAATTTTCATTTTTGCTCCTGTATTTAATTTTCGCTCTTTTTTTTAACAGTTACATAATTTGCATATAGTTAACTATACGAATCAGGGTCAGCTCGGCCCTAAAACTTAATCGACCCCCGAGTCAGCTTGGCCCTATTCCAACTCGGCTCATAATTATGTATTACTGGTAATGATTACTTTTATTACTTTTGATATGTTTTCATCATAAATTTAATGGTTTAACGTTTTTACAGTAACAGACCAACTCAAAGATATTGAAAGTTTTATTGATGAAAGTACCAATTTGTATGTGAATTTGTAGAGAAAGAAAGAATTTACAATTTATATGCATGTTTTGCCTACTCCAGATTTTTTGTAAAAAATATCATTAAAACAGCATTGGTCATATTAAAGAACAAACAGTATTAAATACAATTACATTTATTATTACATCCTGATAGTAATATTTTAAATCTACAACATGTATCTGAAAATTTTGTTTTTAAGGAACTATGCAACTTAAATGTTAGTAAAAGCACAGGTTTAGATGGTATTCCTGCCCGATTTTTGAAGGATGGTTCTAGTGTTTTGAAAATACCAATTACTTACATTGTTAATCTATCTTTTTCTGAAGATAAAGTACCAGATGAAATGAAGTTGGCTAGAGTAAAACCACTTTACAAGAAAAATAGTGTTCTAGAAGTTGGTAATTATAGGCCTGTCAGTATTTTAAGTGCAGTTTCAAAAATTTTAGAGAAAGCTGCTTATGTTCAACTTGAAACATTTTTGGTTTCCAATAATTTACTGTATGAACACCAGTCTGGTTTTAGAAGGTGTTATTCTACAGATAGCTGTCTTATTCACTTACAAGATGTTATAAGAATTAATACTAGTAAAGGGCTATACACAGGTATGGTGATGCTTGACTTGCAAAAGGCGTTTGACACCGTAGACCATGATATTCTTAGTGGAAAGTTAGAATTAATGGGTGTTCAGTCTATTTCCTGGTTCAGATCATATCTTTCAGAACGTTCACAAATTGTTAATATAGGAAATACTTACTCTAAATCAAACAATGTGACTTGTGGCGTCCCCCAAGGTAGTATTCTAGGGCCGTTGCTTTTTCTGTGCTACGTAAATGATATGATTTTAAGTATTGATAATGATTGCAAGTTAATACTGTATGCAGATGACAGCACTATTTTATTCTCACTTTAAGACCCGAATTTCATCTCAGAAAAACTTGGGACAGCCCTAGAAAGCTGTTCAGAATGGCTCGTAGACAATAAGCTGTCACTCCACCTTGGTAAGACAGAATGTATGCTGTTTGGCCCCAAAAGAAAATTACAAAAGCAAGAACAATTTACTGTTACATGTAATGGTCATAGCATAAAGGGTTCTAATTTAGTCAAGTATCTTGGTCTATATATCAATAGTGATTTATCTGGGGAAACTATTGTTAATAACATTATTTCTAAAGTGAATGCCAAGCTCAAATTTTTATACAGGCAGAGCAGACTTTTAGATACTAAAACAAAACAGCTTTTATGTTCAGCCCTGATTCAGTGTCATTTTGACTACTCTTGTTCCTCTTGGTATGAAGGTTTATCAAAACATTTGAAAAGAAAGTTACAAATTACTCAGAATAAGGTATTAAGATTTGTCCAAAACTTAACGCCCAGAACTTCTGTAACAGTGTATGAGTTTGAAAAATTAAATTGGTTAAATGTAGAAAACAGAGTCAAACAGTTAAGACTCAATCATATGTATAAGATTTTTTACAAAAAGAGTCCATCATACCTTAGAGCCGACTTTAAATATTGTGCTGATGCAAGATTTTACAATACTAGATCAAGCAATTTTAATTTTATTGTCCCCCAGTGTAATTCTGTGATGAAACAGACCTTTTATTATAATGGAATCAAAGACTGGAATGATCTGCCAGAATATATAAAATCCATTTATAATTTTGTGCAATACAAAAAATCTGTTAAAAGTACCTACTTGAAAGTTATAAAAGTCTTTCAGAAGATATATATGTGTACAACTAATGTGTTAGACAGTGTGATCAAATATTTCTGTGATAGTAATACTAGGCTTATTTTAAAAAGGGCATACTTTTATAAATATAATTCCTTTTTCAACCAAAATATTGACCAAAGTTAGTTAGTTTAGTTTTTTATCTTGTTGTTTTTTGTTTGTTTTTTTTTTTTTATTAGGGGGGGAAAGGGTTAAAATTATGTTTTTTTTTTTTTTTTTTCTTATGGACCCCATTGGAAATAAGCATTTAGCTTAATGGGCTATCCATAGGTGCATAGTACCTCTTATTTTATTTTTTATGACAAAAGTGTGCTCTTTTATGCTGTTTTATGATCTCATTTTATATATATAATTTATATATGTTATCTCTTAACTGTATGATTTTATATTTTGTATCATGTGCTATGTTCCTAAAATGTATAAATATTGTCACAAAAATTCAATCTAAAAACCCTATTCAATATTTAACATGTATTGTCTTGATATCTTTTCTTAACAAAGATAATTTCAAACAATATGTACAGGTACACTGCCCACTTTTTAATTTCTGTTTGTAAGTGATCGTACTTCTGAATAACTTTATAGAAATTTACTCCTTAAAATTTTTATTAACTATTAAAACAATCTAAACAATTTATATTCTAATTTATATTTTTAATAGCGGGCCAAGTTGACCTGTGCCAAGCTGACCCATGCCGAGTTGGTATAGGGCTGAGTTGACCCTTTACCAACTATACAGAGACATATTTTTTGTAGTGACAAGGATTTACATAGCACATTTCCAAACCATTCTATTTGAAAGACCCTGCTGTGTGTGAAATTTTTTTAGTTGACATTTTTTTCCACTGACAGATGAAAATCTGTGATTCAGTCTCTAAATACTGGGATTTTTTAAAATCACACCGGGATATGGGTATCACATGTTATTTGTACACAAGTGGGTCATAATCAAATTGGTGCCGCATATTCACTAAATTATAATAAAATAATAGGTCAAGACCTGGGACATAATCTTATGTCCCAGGTCAAGACAGGCATTTCATTTTCATTTCCAAAACCGTTCACACCAAGATGATTCACTCCCAAATTTCAAAACGGTTGATTTAGTTTTAATTTATCATATTATTTAAAAGGAGGATTTTAATCAAAAATGACAATTAATTTTAATTTGATCAGTTGATAAAATCTGAAAAGAATGCAGACCAAAATTTAGCAGTTTAGTATTATCGATAATAGAATCTACTATATCATTATTATTAAATATTCTTGATGCCTATTAAAATAGAATATACTCTAAAATAATAAATAAAATGAAAGATTTATGGAGAAAACATTTACAAACCAGATAAATTAAAATAAATGTTCATGCCTCTTCAAGCACTAATTTGACGGAAACAGGACGTTTCGGCCCCAAACCAAATCGGCCCCAGTCGAAAAATCGGCCCCTGGACGTTTCGGCCCTTTTCTGCGAGACGTTTCGGCCCCACTATAGTATATTGCTTGATTGATTAACAACAATTAATTTAATAACAATTAAACAATTATGACACTTTAATTCTTTAACTGGAATAATAATTATTTATTATCTTTTGATCTCAGACTCTTGAACCATTTAGATGTACGTTAATTTTTTTTAAGGTGTAACAAACAATAAAGGCAGGTAAAGGGCCGAAACGTCCGGGGCCGAAACGTCTTGGGTAGTTTGGGGCCGATACGTCTTGGGGCCGAAACGTCTCGAAATCAATTTGACGATCAATTTTTTGTATATGCACCGTTATGTTTATCGCTTCAACATCGACAATTCAATAAAATATTTTGATAGGAGATAAAGATTTACTGTGCTTACAATATATCATTGAAACAATTGAACTATCTGAAAGGTTTATAGCAAAAACAGTCAAACTGACAATCGGAAATGGTTGATCATTTTTTAAAATGTGTTAAGCGGCATGAACTGAAAATGTCTGAAGTTACAGAAAAAACTGCAAAGGATTCCGAGACTCCTGGCAACCTTGGATGTCAGCATTATTCAAGAAAATGTCAATTTATTGTATGTTTAGATACTACTGATTTGCATGTGTTACTCTAATTTCTATAAAATTTGTTATGGTACTAAGCCATGGGGGTTATAGAAGACGATGATGACGTCTTGCGACCTCAACTCCAGTAAAATAAAGTAAAGTATGATTTAAAATCTCTGGCCAGTCTGGGCCAGAGGTCCAAATAAAAAATCCAGAAATTTATGGTAAACACAGACACTTGGAAGTATAGACCCGCCCTTCTTCGCCCCTGAATATTAAAAACTAAAATTATCATTTATTATATGAATTAGTTTTATATTTCTGCTTATAATATGAAATTAGGCAAAGCCTATGAACGGGGAAGTCGGTAAAAAATCCTTTCATTTTTTCCGTTTTAAAGGTGTCATTCGGTATTATATGTACCCGCTTCCGTTCTCACTCGGAACACTCGACGATTATTATTAATCCGAAAAGTTGAGATTTGTTCCGTTATTGGAATACACCGCCTTTTATCATTGAGTTACTTTGTAAATGGTGGCGCCTAACTAAAACTGACACTGAAAATTTCATTGATAGGTATAGAATTCTATATATTTTTTAATTGTTTTTTTTTATTTGATTTTCTTTTAAATATACACGTGTAGTCTATAGCCGGGCAAGCCAAAGCCCAGTGGGCCCGGACTTTGACTTCCCCGTATTAGTTTGAGACGGTTATCGTGGACTAACCAGTTCTCAAACCTCTAAGCATTCAAGAGGTCTTTTAGTGTAAATAGAATATATCTTTATAAAAAATCTTTACATATATGTACACTTTAATCTTTATGTAACATTTCTGTAAAATTTGACTGAAATTCAACAATTTAAAAAGCTCTATATCCGTCTTGGAAAAGCACAACCCTCTGTTTTAAAACTGACATGGCCTCTTAAAATAAAGAACCTAATCTCAAACCCCTTCAAGTATCTCTAAAATTCTACTGTTCAGTTTAGCCAATGAAGTGATTGTTATATGACTATCACATGACAATGAAGTACCCTGCAGGATGCAGGTACCTGCTTTAAGATATTTTTGTCTATAATATTCATTTTCACAAATAGTCAATAGTGTATTTATGGGACTTACAAAGGTAATAGCAATTTGTATGAAATTTTTGCTTAGTAATAAAATATGTTATGTAAATATTTGTTCCTATGCACTGTTTTCATTTGACATAAGCACACATGTATGTCAGAAACTAAGCTTTTATGCTCACAAGTTCAGGACATCATAGTCACTTCTAGTAAAAAAATAACAGCACATGAATGAAAGGTTTGAGAATAGGTTGGGTGTGAGATTAGGTAGCCAGTGATTTTTAGCTCACCTGAGCTTGCTCAGGGTGAGCTTTTAGGATCGGTGAATGTCCGTCGTCCGTCGTCCGTCCGGCCGTCCACAATTACTTGTGAACACTCTAGCGGTCGCATTTTTGCCTCAATCATCATCAAACTTGGTCAGGATGCTTATCTAGTTGAAAGCTCGGATGAGTTCGAACATGGGTCATCTCGGATGAAAAACTAGGTCACAAGAGCTAAAAATAGAAAAACCTTGTGAACACTCTAGAGGTCACATTTTTGACCCAATCATCATCAAACTTGGTCAGGATGTTTGTCTAGGTGATAGCTTGGATGAGTTCGAACATGGGTCATCTCGGATGAAAAAGTAGGTCACAGGAGCTATAAATAGAAAAACCTTGTGAACACTCTAGTGGTCACATTTTTGAACCAATCATCATCAAACTTGGTCAGAATGCTTGTCTAGTCAATTGCTTGGATGAGTTCGAACATGGGTCATCTCTGATGAAAAACTAGGTCACAGGAGCTAAAAATAGAAAAACCTTGTGAACACTCTAGTGGTCACATTTTTGACCCAATCATCATCAAACTTTGTCAGGATGCTTGTTTAGATAATAGCTCGGATGAGTTCGAATATGGGTCATCTCGGATGAAAAACTAGGTCACCGGAGCTATAAATAGAAAAACCTTGTGAACACTCTAGTGGTCACATTTTTGCATCAATCATCATCAAACTTGGTCAGGATGCTTATCTAGTTGATAGCTTGGATGAGTTCGAACATGGGTCATCTCGGATGAAAAAGTAGGTCACCAGAGCTAAAAATAGAAAAACCTTGTTAACACTTTAGCGGTCACATTTTTGCATCAATCATCATCAAACTTGGTCAGGATGCTTATCTAGTTGATAGCTTGGATGAGTTCGAACATGGGTCATCTCGGATGAAAAAGTAGGTCACCAGAGCTAAAAATAGAAAAACCTTGTTAACACTTTAGCGGTCACATTTTTGCATCAATCATCATCAAACTTGATCAAGATGCTTGTCTAGGTGATAGCTCGGATGAGTTCGAACATGGGTCATCTCGGATAAAAAACTAGGTCACAGGAGCTAAAAATAGAAAAACCTTGTTAACACTCTAGTGGTCACAATTTTGACTCAATTGTCATCAAACTTGGTCAGGAAACTTGTCTAGGTCATTGCTGGGAATAAATCGAACATGGGACATCTCGGATGAAAAACTAGGTCACAGGAGCTAAAAATAGAAAAATCTTGTTAACACTCTAGTGGCTACTGTTGTGATCCAAATATTCTGTTAATTGGTCTGAAAGTTTGTTTTGATGATTTCTAAGTCAAGATCGAACATGGGTCATCTTGGATGAAAAACTAGGTCACACCGCCCAAATATGGAAAAACCTTGTTAACATTCTAGTGGTCACATTTTCGACTCAATTATCATCAAACTTGGTCAGGATGTTTGTCTAGGTAATTGCTTGGATGAGTTCGAAATCGCATGTGAAACTAGGTCACCGGAGCTAAAAATAGAAAAATCTTGTTAACACTCTAGTTGCTACTGTTTTGATCCAAGTATCCTGGAAATTGGTCTGAAAGTTTGTTTTGATGATTTCTAGGTCAAGTTTGAATATGTGTCACCTGGGTAAAAAACTAGGTCGCACTGCTCAAATATGGATAATCCTTGTTAACACTGTAGTGGTCACATTTTTGACTCACCTGTCATGAGACTTGGTCAGAATGCTTGTCTAGGTAATTGTTTGGATGAGTTTGATAATTCAGGTGAGCGATCTAGGGCCATCATGGCCCTCTTGTTTTACAAACTCATCAGTGTGGGTCCTAGGACTCGCTGAGCTATAAATCTATGAGTCCCAAAATTTAGCTGACTAATCTAAGTTACAAGGCTTAATATTGCTTTAGTGATATGAAAGGTATATTAACAATGGAATGAAGAAAAATTGAATTTGATTTCTACATTAATAACAATGCTTCTGATACTGAAATAATTCAAAACTGTCAAATAAATTTAATAAGTTTATTTCCATTAATTTAGTTTGAGATTAATCAAAACTTCATTTTCCTTAATATTTTATGCTTAATAATCTATAGTAAAGCACTCATTATTATTTCTTATCTGTAGAAGATTTGCAGACCTAGAATATGACTGACATAACTTGAACACAATTTGGTATTTATTACCAAATTCCAGTCAGACAGGACTCCCTACTCAGAAAAAGTATGCATCCAAAAGATGCACATTATTTGAAACTTTGCTTCCACAGCAAATTCAATGAGTCCTGGACTCGGGATGCAGAGGTAAAAAAATCACTGGGTACTTATACGATAAGTGTCTAACATGTAAACAAGTTTGAATAGAATTTTATAACGTTTTAAAAAAGTCAATTTTTACCAACGTTTCAATTTCCAGAAGATACCAAGCTTTGAAATGAAACACAACTGACCTACATGAATTTCAAGCTTTTATGTTAGCGCATGCCATTTCTTTTGCCATTTGGTGTAAATCAGTTGAGGTATATATTCTTCTAATAAATAAATATATGTTACTATCCGATTATACCTTTCTTCCAAGCTTTGCACATTTAAATAAATTTTCTAACTGTGTCACATGTTTGCTTGAGAATTCATGACGACTGGAATCGTTTCCCGCAACTTACAGTGGAAAAATCTCTGGGAAATAGGAAATTTCATAAAGATCTTCAATGAATGAAAATGTACATTGTTATCGACTCACACACATGCGCATGGCCTATATTTTCAGGAGCGTAAATACAAAGTAAACAATAAAAAATACATAACAATTTTATTTCTTTTTACGTTTTATACTTTTACATCTAGTGTTTAAATAATATTATCTTTTTTACTTGAATAATGTTTCTTTAAACTTCACCATATTCACCGACATGTGGTTATCAAAGTGGCTGGATGAAATTCCTCCGGATGTGATGATTTTGTGAAAAATAGGCATGTGTTTTACTCATTAGAGAATTCTGTTCAGTTCTCGGCATAAAATGAAAGCTCATAACAGTGCTGAAACTCATTTCAGTCGTCTCACATCAAAAGAAAGCTTATGTTGTTATCTTTATGAAATTATGATATTTTAGGGAGTTTTTTGAACATCATCATTAAAATAGCGGATAACAAGGTTTATCTTCAAGAGATGTGACCAGGTGGTAATAATATGCAAAAAATTTTTGACGTACGGATTGCAAAATAAAAATACACTGGTGTATACAAGCGCGGATCAAGAAGGGGAGCCATGAACATCACCCCATGTCTGTGTTAGTAAATGTGACTTGTTCATCCGAACAAATCAGGAACTTGTGTGGCATCCTGGAACGAGTAATACATGCTGGAATTGTCCTCATGGAGTGAACATAAGGCCTGGTTAAGACGTTGGGCAGGGTCTTCCTCTCCACCTGCTGTGCCCATGTCTATCTTGTGATTTGCCCTCCCTCTACACCCAAGTTCATCCTAGATATGTTCAATGGGATTAAAATCTGGGGAGACAGTGGCACCCAGCTAACTAAGGATTTTTGCAAGACATGTTTGACTTAGGCATATATTTATGCCCCTACTTCAAAGAAGGTATATTGCTTTGCATTTGTCTGTCTGTCGGTACATGTACGTAGACCAAATGGTTTCAGAGTGATAACTAAAGAACGCTTAGGCCTAGGAACTTCAAACTTGGTATGATGATTGGTAATGACCAGCAGATGACCCCTATTGATTTTGGGGTCAAGGGGTCAAAGGTCAAGGTCACATTGACCTTGTAGGTAAAAATGGTTTCCGATCAATAACTAAAGAACGCTTAGGCCTAGGAACTTCAAACTTGGTATGATGATTGGTCATGACCAGCAGATGACCCCTATTGATTTTGGGGTCAAAGGTCAAGGTCACATTGACCTTGTAGGTAAAAACGGTTTCCGATCAATAACTAAAGAATGCTTAGGCCTAGGAACTTCAAACTTGGTATGATGATTGGTCATGACCAGCAGATGACCCCTATTGATTTTGGGGTCAAGGGGTCAAAGGTCAAGGTCACATTGACCTTGTAGGTAAAAATGGTTTCCGATCAATAACTAAAGAACGCTTAGGCCTAGGAACTTCAAACTTGGTATGATGATTGGTCATGACCAGCAGATGACCCCTATTGATTTTTGGGTCAAGGGGTCAAAGGTCAAGGTCACATTGACCTTGTAGGTAAAAACGGTTTCCGATCAAAAACTAAAGAACGCTAAGGCCTAGGAACTTCAAACTTGGTATGATGATTGGTCATGACCAGCAGATGACCCCTATTGATTTTGGCCGCAGCTTATTGTTGATAAATTTGTTAACTGAATCTTGATTTTAATGAATTAATTTTCTTCTATTGAAATTCGCCCTTGAATGAATAATATTTGAAAATCATGCGAAATCTCCCCCCCTCCCCCTCCTCTGCATGGACCCTGGCCCCAGTCCCAAAATGCAAACGAGGGCCCTGTTTCAATTAACTTTAACAATACATGTCACCATCTCATGACATCAGTTAATGATGTCATACATGTTATCTAAGAGCATTACAGCACTCGCACAGGCATCAAAAATATTTTCAGTCACTCTTCCTGTGAGTAGTTTCTAAACCCAATGTGCAGGCAACATGTCTCTACTCATCCTGCATCAAATTCTCTTAGATTCTACTCATAATTAAGAACCGACAAGTAGAATTTTCAATCTCTGTTACGGGGCCTGTGGCTCCACTCAGGGGCCCAACTCAGACTTTCCACCTATTACTAACTACATTAATTCTTTAAGCTAACCTGAACATAGCTTAAGTGACTTCAGCAAACAGGTTTTATAGTATTGCTAGACCCAACATCAAAATAAAAGTGTCATTTAAAGTTATGGAAGCCAGAACTATCCTGAACACAGTGTTAGATTTAAAGATGAGCTTTTGTGATGGCAGTTTGTCCTTCATTCATCTTACGTGATTTTTTGTAATTCCTTGAAGCAACATCTAAACCACATAAGTTTTACCAAACTTCACAGAAAAGATTCTCAGCCCTCTTTAAAAGTGATACATCAGGGATATAATTAAACAGACGACAATGATGACAGTGGGTGAAAATTTAAACTTTTGAAAAATGTTATGCCATGGGGGCGTTAAATCAGGATTTTATGGTAATTATCAAAAAGGGTAAATTATATCTGGGTAGGCTAGCTCATAGATTAGCAGTGGCATTGTGGCATCTCATGCTTGATACTAAACTATGTGCTTTTAAAGCATTTAAAATATAATTCTGGATGACAGTGAACAATTACACTGTACATAAAAATTATGAAAAGCTTAAAAAAAAAACACAAAAAAAAACAGGATATGGTTAATAACTACATTGTATAATTTCATTCATGTCTACTGGTTTTGGTCTATTTTGGACCTTCATGAGGACAAAAATAATTTTCAAATTAGCCCCTGAAGAACTAAAATTGATGTCATCAGTTTCAAAAATGACATCTTTAGTTTGTGAAGTACATGTACTGACTATAATTGATTTACTTTAGTTTATACAAATTTATTTTAGTTTGATTGTGTTTGAAGCTATAAGCATATTGACACACTCATGAATCCGTTGTACTAAGCAATCAATGTAAAGTTTCTGATTTATTTTCAGGCTCCATGTTGTAAAAAGATTTATGCATGTAGAGTGTGTCACAATGAATCAGAAGATCATGAAATAGACCGCAGTGCTGTGTCTCAAGTTAAATGTTTACTCTGTGGCCTGGTACAAAAGGTAAAACCTTTATACTTACTAATGTGTTTTAAACTTTTCTGAAAAAATTCAAACATACTGGTTTGTAGAATTACCAAATGGCTGCAATAATACATTGTGATACAATCAATACACATAGTGATCCTGTAATGCTGGGGTAAATCAATGGACTGGAACATGATTTTATTGAAAACTACATGTAGTAATATACTTTATACTTTCAAAGACTAATTATCTGTTTCCAATTAGAGATAGAATATTTAAGATTTTGTATCATTTATCTTTCATCAGAAAAAGGAAACTATTCAGGAAGATATGTTTTTCAATGTTTTGGCATTGTAGGTTCAGAAGTCATGTGAGAGCTGTGAGACGATATTTGGGAAATATTTCTGTGAGAAATGTCGGTTATATGATGATAATGATAAAGGACAGTTTCACTGTGATGAGTGTGGTCTTTGCAGGTAATGTAACTCCTTATTCTCACTTAAGTCTTCATAACTTTATTTAATCTAAATATTGGTAGCCATGTTCACCAGAAATACAATTATATAGATGATTATAAGATAAGCAGTGTTCAATCTAGAACAAATTTCCAGGGGGCCTTTCGGGTCCATAAACTTTTCAAAAGGGGGTCATTTGAGAAAAAAGGGGGCCAGCACTTAAAATGAACATCAAATTCAAATAAGGTATTGTATCTTTTTAAGTTACTTGTTCACATACCATATATAGACCAAAAACGGTTGCAAAATTCCATAACAATCAACTCAACTAAAAAAATGACATTATTTTGACCTTTTTCGAGAGTTCTGTTAGCGTTGATGCAGGCTCAATTTTGGTACAGAAACAATGACATAATGTTCAAAGAAACATATGAATCTTTTTTAAATGTTACCAGGGATATTTGATAACAATGTTCAGTTTTTTAATCAGCGCCCGATATATAAAGAAAAATCATATTTTGCAATAAGCTTATAAACTTACAATAGTCACTAAAACATTTACCCTTCTCAATATATCCAAGCTAAAAACAAAGTGTCAACAGGTGCTAAGACAATGTATATTGACATACCGGAAACCTTTGATCTTTTGTCAGGGCAGCAGTTCTTACGTCATGCTTAAGATGTCTGTATTGATTAATGATATGCACAATGTTTTAGCGCCGACCAGCCAAAGACCAATCAAAGTTTATTTACTCAATTGTCAGACACTCCCTAGCCAATCGTGTTTGGTTAGCTCCATCTTTAAGACTTTTTTAATTGGTTGAAGGCGTGTTCGTAATAATTTATGCACACCTCTATAATTAACTCGCACTTTTTCACAAATATATAGTTTTTTTTTCCTCCGGAAAGTTATTGCATATTAATTTGTTTTGACCGTTAAAAAACTATAACGACACGCACATGAAGATTTGTTTTGTTTATAAAAACTGTGACTCAAAAGTAAGCAATAGTTACGGTTCCAAGAACAGGTCTGCATAGTATTTACAGACCCGGACCGAGAGAGCGTTGCGATCAAGGTTTTAAAAGGGTTACCGAGTGCGGTAACTATCTTACCAACATGCTCTTGTTTTTCTATACAAACTTCAATTTTGAATTCAATATTTATTAATATTATTCACGAAACTTTTTAAGACTTAATCAGGTTTAAGATCATTAATGGCATTTTCTTTGAGTGCGCCCGTCGGCCCCACAGTTGAATTTGTTTTGCGCCGGCGGTCTTTTCAGGGGGTCAATGGCGCAATGGCGCGCTCTAGATTGAACACTGGATAAGGACAAGGTCAGTAGAGATGTTGATGAAATGTCCAGTTTTTGTGCACGCATGGGGTGACATCAGTATTACAAGTGCTCAACATCATGAGACAGTGTTGCTACCTAAACAAGGGCAGTAGGTCAATGTCATGCTTTAAGGTCAGAGTAAAAATCTTGTCCACAGGTACAAATTAGACTTTTGATACATTTAAAACATTTATTCCACCATACAGTATGAGAAATAATCAACTTTGCTTGTCCTCTAACACTACTTTCAATCAATTATGCCCATATCTTCAACAAAAGCTTTCCTGATGTGTGTTTTTTGTGACAATGGCGCCCTTGTTTGTGTTTTGTATGTACCCTCATCTAACGATTGTCTGTTGGATTCTGTGACACATGTGTCTAATGATCTGTGACATTGTAGTCAAAGAGTCATTGTAGTTCAAATCATTTTCTGCTTATGCAAATACATGTACAAAAGACATTGATGGGTAGTAAGAACAGGTTGTGGTGAGATTGATAATTTCTCTAACTACTACTTCTAAACAAAACTAAAAACGTAAAAACACAAATGTATTTTTAAAACAATTATATCTTGCAGCTAATATATTTTCTGCATTGAATGAAATGTATATATAGGTAGTCTGTTGTTAATAAAGAGGGGGTAGTGTAATCATGAGTAAATGTGTTTCTATATTACAGAATTGGTGGTAGAAGTAAATACTTCCATTGCAAGAAATGTGATATGTGTCTGTGTGTAAAACTGAGAGATAATCATAAGGTTTGTTAACATATAATCATTTATTTATGTTATAACCTTTAATTAATTGTATAAGATGTCTCCTTTTAAAATGCATTTACAAAGTTCATGTATCATTATGTTTTAAATTCTGTTTTATTTCTTTTCTGTTGAAATTTTATTATCTCAGCTTAGAAACAATAAGTTGTTCACCAGTTGATCAGGCTAAAAATATTTATAAAGAAACTGCTGAGAAGGAGGTTAATAAATGTTTTATGTTAGTTACTGAAAAGAAGATAGGTTTTCTTAGTGCATAAACATTGTTTTAGCACAGCACATTTTAAGATATAGTTTAACATATTAAGTAAAATTCAGTATGTTGTGACCAACACAATTATACATAATATGGAATCTGGAACCCAATGTCAGAGTTTGGTTACAGTAAAAGGCAGATTACAAAATTAAAACAACAAGCAGACAAAACAGCAGAAACTGCAAAAATTATTCTTTATTAAATGCAATAAATTTAAACTTCCACTACAACAATAGATTTTAATGAACAGTTAAAAACTGTCTTTTAACTTTATTAAACTTGTAAGATTTATTGTGACTCGTATGTTTTATTTATGAATGTAGTGTGTAGAGGAGAATTCACGTAGAAACTGTGCTGTTTGTCTTGAAGATCTTCATACATCTAGAATGGATGCTCATATACCTAATTGTGGACATCTTATACATAGGTACATTTTTATATATTTTTTTGCAAGGTTGTTTTTTTAAAAAAAAAAAAATTTTTTTAATACATTTAAGTTTGATCTTTCCCCCTTTCTTTTCATGCTCTGGTGAAATAAATTTGATAGCTGTAGCCTGTATTTGCAAAGTTTGTATATTGTAAACACAAAGAATTCACATGTTTGAATTACAAATATCGTAAAACATTCATCTTTGAACCTGTCTGATTGAAATCATATCCTTAGTTAATAACTTTATGGAGATCATATACATCAATTAGATTAATCATTGAATTGAAAGGCTTGTTATTTAATTCTTAAGTTAGTATTATGTTTTCTCTGTGGGTATTTTTTGAAATGTTCTTCCTTGAATTATTTTACTTCATTTTAGATTTATTGTATAACCCAGATCATTTTGTCACTTTTCATAAATTTACTATACTCCTTATAAATTTATATTGCACTTCTCATACATTTTTATATTACACTTCTCATATGTTTATAGATATATTATACTTCTCTTATAGTTATACTATACTTCTCATATACAATGTAATTATATTACACCTATATTACATTTCTCATATATTTTATTTTATATTACAGGATATGTTTAGAGCAATGCATGAAAACAGGGTAAGTGTTTTAAATAAACAAATATATTTGACACTTTGCCAGACCTTATCTTCTCAAAAAAAAAAATTCAACTCTTATAGCATGCTGATTGCTAACACTTCCATAAGTGCATAAAGATCTAGTTGTTAGTTGATAGTATAAATATGCAGCAAAATTCTTCCTACTTCTGATTCATGTTCATGTATAATTTAGAAGTACAGACCATTTACAAAATGAGGACTCATGTTAGATTCATAGACAAACATTTATCTCTGTTATTCTATTGTGTGCAATGGACTTATCTTGTACATGCATTTAATTTCAAACTATGCATTATAATTTTTACAGACTCAAAAAAAACAACTAATTTTTGGAAGAAAATAGCTTACTGTTAGAATATTTGTCATTATATTAGCAAAATTTAGAATTATCAATCTTGAAAAAACCATCTCATAACATTACAGGATTTATGCATGTCCAACATGTGGACAAAGTTTATATGACATGCACAAAGCATGGGAAATGTTGGACACTGAAGTAGCTAATACACCGATGCCAGATGAATACAAGAACTTCCATGTGTATGTACTTTGTAAAGACTGTCATAAGGTTAGTCCTGTTTTAAACTTTCCTTTTTCTTTTAATTATACTTAAATCATACTTATAAAGTCATTTCTCAAATTCACAGACTAAAGAAACAAGAATAGGTAATATTTGTTAAATTAAACTGACTTTTAAGATATACTACACTGACCTTGAGTAAAATGATTTTATTGCAAAAATTTATTGCAGTCTAGAAAATTCTTATAGCATACTGGCATGCAAGCAGTTCCTGTACAGAAGCAGTACCCGTATTTTTCGTTTAAACGCATGATCATTACTTGCATCCTTTTAAAAATTGATATCAAATCAAAGCAGATGTATGAACAAGACAAAATCTGAGTGCCAGTTCAGTAATACGTTTAAAAAGTTTTCCTTGTAAATCACTTTCACCTGTGCATTGTTAAAACGTGACCTTGTAAAAGTTGAGGGATTCCGTACATGCAGCATGCGCGAAAATACTTGCATATCAAGCATGTTAAAAGGTTTTCAGCTAATACTACCCAAATACAGAGAAGTGGGCAATGTGATTAAAACCTGTTAATTATCAGAATTTTCACCTATATTACTACATTAAATCATTTTATGACTTTAATGAGTAAAATATCATGCATACAAGCACGCCATTGCATGGAAATGCGTTGGGGTAACGGTACCGGGTAAAAGATACTAGCATTTAGTCTACCCTCTATTCCTGAAGTACATCTATTTACCTCTTTGGGAAAATGGTCCCTTCAACAAATATAAATGAAAAATAGGTCTGATACATGTATAACAATATTGTATAATTATATCTTATGTACAGGAACTACTTTTCTTCTTACAAAATAATGGATAATTTCGGTACCCCATATCAGGCTTCATAACTACGGGTTATTCTATGTTTATAACATAATGGAATTTCCATAATTTGTGTGAAGAGCTGAATATTGATGTGTAACATTCAATTTTTTCGTGAGTGAGCGTTAAAACAAAAAATTTTTTAGTAGCTACAATTTTTGCACGGGAATTGCTTGCATGCCAGTACATCTAATTTGAATAAGAGAATGCATCAAATATGTTTGGGAAGCTACACTCCCTAATACTGCTCAAGTTAATTTGGTCATTTCTGCCAGTTTTTTTATGACACTATGTATTCATACTTTGTTATGTAGTATGTAGAGTTTAAAAGGTAACATCTTTCTGGTGTGTACTCAAAAGATGTTTATTTTACATTTAAAAAAAAGAGACTTTATAGCAATTATCATTATTTTCAAATTTTACAGTGAACAGTTTTAAAAACTTTATTATAAATATGGATAAATGTTGGGGAAATATACAGCACAATTCAACTCCCAAATATTATTTAAAAGGTAACAGCTAATAAGGACTATTTAGAAAATTGTTATGCATGTACAATATTTTACTGTTATATCATTAATTTATAGGAGAGTAGAGTGCTGTTTCATGTGATTGGTCTGAAGTGCCAAATGTGTGGATCGTACAACACCTGTAGGACTGAGGATCCAGATAGCTCTGCTTCAAATAAGGCTTCTCAATCAAATACCAGCGGGTCCGAGCCTACAGGGGCAGCAGGAGATGGTCAGCCTACAACTACAACAACAGGAGCCTCAAACACGACCCATGTACCTTCAGAGGGAACTGATAAAAAGAAATAATCAAATATTCATGAAGGTCATCTGCTTATAATTTGCTTTAGGATAAATATGTTTAGGTAAAAAATGAAATAATTATTTTTGAAATATTGGCATGTAAGCAAGCATTAGTGGTTTTATTTTTGTTGCTTTTTCTGTATTTTTGATACTTGTTTTTATCAGATTATTACTTGGTGTAAATTATAATTACGTTAGCATGATAGGTCAGGATTTCTGCTTAATTTATCATTTTCATCAAAATTAATGTAACAAGAAATATATTCATAAGATATGAGAAATGTTAACAAATATTATAAGCTTAGGACCCTTTCAATATAAGTTACAAGGATGGAAAAGAAATGTTTTGTAATGTACTGGTTTGATTTTAAGGCTTCCATAATACATCTGTCACAAACTGATGAAATTTCATATGTTTTGTCGCATGATGTCTTTTTATATTGTGTATGCATTGAAATGACAAACAAGATAGTAAAACATTGTCAACTCAATGTTTCTTAAGTATAGGGTTAAGTATAGAATTATGTAATTGTAAAGATATGTTTGAATGATTTAAGGTGTTCTTTTGAAGAAAAAAACGCCCTATTGCTACAGTCATGTGTCATTTACATTGCCATCCAAAACCTTTAACATTGGTCAGTATGTTTTTATTTATCAATTGATTTGCTTCATACTTGAACACAACAGCCCTTTGGAGAGGACCTTATATTGAAGACTGAACTTGTCACTCTCAAATGACCTTGTTCTTCAAAGTCAAATGAATTTTGCATGGTTCCACAGCAATCCTTTGGATAAGACCTTCAAGTAGACCAAGTTGATTATCACTTAAATCATCAATGACCTTATCTTGAATCTCATATTATTGAATTTTGCTTGATTTTTCTATAATTGGCTATAACTTTATTATTTATGAATAGATTGTGTATAGATTGTTTTCATACTTGACCACAACTACCTAAAGGAAAATGTCTTAATAAGATCACAGTCATTTTGACATCTACTCAAAAATGACCTCAACCGTGAAGTTAAAATTATTGTTATTTCACAGTTTTGTTTTGCTTTGATTGACTATAACTTCTAAGTAATGAAAGGATTGTGTTCATACTTGGGCACAACAATCCTTATGTCAAGACATCAAAGAAGATAGAAATGAACTTGACCTTAATTTGACACTTACACTAAAGGTCAAATTAGTGAATTTCTCAAAATGTTCATATATTTACATAACATGGTCAAAAAAACACTAATAACAAAACTGACATGTCTAGTTGTTCAGATATGGCCATGATCTTTATTTGACCTTGACCCTGAAGGCCAAATTATTGAAATTTTTGAAAGTTTTATTTATATACAGATTTGATTTAAACTTAGACAAAAGAACACATATGACAAAACTGACATTTTGAATTATTCAACCCTTTAATTAACCTTGACTTCAAGGTCAGTATTGAAATTTACTTAAATTGCCATACATTTTTTATCTATTTACAAATTTGACTTATACTTGGATAAAAGAACATATGACCAACTGACATGTTGAGTTATTTTAAATGACCTTGACCTTTGAATGGCCTTTACTGTCAAGGTCAAATGATTGCAATTGGCTTAAATTTTTGTAACTTTGTTATTTATTTATAGATTTGATTCATTCTTTGACAAAAGAACACATATGACAAAACTGACATAATGATTGATTCAGATGTGACCTTGACCATTTAATGACCTTGACTGTCACAATCAAATATGATATATGAATTATATTTTGTTCAAGACAGTTATGTATTCTGGGAGTATTATTTACTGAAATATTTTTCCTCCAATGTTCTTGACTTTAGAAATAAGACAAGAGCGATCAGTAATCACATGTGTCGCCTCATGATGGCCAATTTCATGTTGGGACAAATTTTGTGACAGACGGACAGACAGACGGACAGTGCACAACTAGACTAACCACTTTGTACTGATCATTCCTGTACAGTTTGGATAAAATTGCACCAGTAGTTTATGAGGAGTAGTCCGGACAAGCTTTTGCGTATCTGGCAACACACAGAAAAAAACACCTTTTTATCAAAGGGCCATAACTCGGCCAAAAATCATTCAACCGGAAAACCCATGCAATATGTGCAAGGACTTGAGCTACAGATCAATCCTGTAAAGTTTCATTGAAACTGCATAAGTGGTATAAGAGAAGTAGTCTGGACAAACTTTAAAAATAAAGTTTATTAAAGGGCCATAACTCAAACAAAAATCATTGAACCGGAAAATGCTGACAATATGCACAACTAGACATGGTACTGATCATTCCTGTAAAGTTTGGATGAAATTGCACCAGTAGTTGATGAGGAGTAGTCCGGACAAGCTTTTGTGTATCTGGCAACACACAGAAAAAGAAACCTTTTTATCAAAGGGCCATAACTCGGCCAAAACTCATTCAACCGGAAAACCCGTGCAATATGCGCAAGGACTTGAGCTACAGATCAATCCTGTAAAGTTTCATTGAAATTGCATTAAAGGTATAAGAGAAGTAGTCCGGACAAACTTTAAAATTAAAAATTATTAAAGGGCCATAACTCTGACAAAAATCATTGAACCGGAAAATCCTGACAATATGCACAACTAGACTTGGTACTGATCATTCCTGTAAAGTTTGGATGAAATTGCACCAGTAGTTTATGAGGAGTAGTCCGGACAAGTTTTGTGACGGACGGACAGACGGACAGACAGACGGACAGACAGACGACGGAGAAGTGATCCCTATATGTCGCCACTACTCCGTAGAGGCGACACAAAAAGGGCAATTGTGGCCGCCACTTTGTGGTTGCTCTTGTTATGACTTGGATGCTATTATTAAGAGAAAGACATTCTTTCTTTTTTTTAATTTGTATAGCATTTCCTGTTGTTTTTTCATGAAGAAATAAAAGAGGATCTTTAGTTCCAAGAAAAAAAATCTTAAAAATTTCTTAATTTTCTGGTATATTTTGTAATTACAATAAAACTTTGAGTAACACAACCTTAAATATTCACCAATTAAATATTTATTAATACATTATTGTTATATATACACTTAGTTTGACACTGTTTATTTGAATCGTTGTATGCCTTTAGTATGTACATATAAACCATATTTATGTTTTACTATGTTTGCAGAATAAATGGTTTTATAGTTTTTCTAAGATTTTGTTCATTTATGCAGGTCACTTTTCCCTTGCATTGTAAAGTGCTTAGAAAGTACAGTCTAACTTGTCTAAAGCGGCTAGTAAGGGGACTGAACTAAAATGACCATTATATACAGGTTGACATGAATATCACTATATGGATGATTGTTATGCTGTATTTTGACTGATGAAAATAATATCTTCATGAAGAAGTAGTCGTAAAGTACTGGCTATACGATGGCTATTAAAACTCATTGCATTGCATCCTTAGTTTGACCCCAATACTGCAAGACCTTGCACTAGTAATATTAACAAATTCTAGAATGAAAACAAAATCTCCAAATTATAAAAAAAATGCAAGCAAACTTTCTAAGATGACGGAATCGATTGTCAGTCGTGTATTATATACATATTTTAATGATTGTCAGCAATCGCATCTTCTCGACCTTTTCTGTCAAACTTCGGATAAGGACCTCTGACCTCCAGCCATGGCCTTATCTTTTCAATTTGAATTATCAGGTAAATGGATTACCATAAGAATTTGACCATGACATATTTCTTAAAAGAACACAAGTCAATGTTTGTGGTTTAATCTACTTTTATTCACATTAAAGGTCAGAGTAGAGATCTATCAATTGCAAATACACAGAACGGATACTGTTTTGGTCTTACCTACACATGTAAACAAATAATAATTTAATGCTGTGAGTTGTTGACTACAGTTTATAACAATATATCATGTAAAATACACATAAAAAAGTAAAAGTACACAGTACATTAAATAATTATTAAGGTTGTAGAAACTGGAAATACATAATGCTACCGGCTGACATTATTTCGGAATCGTTTATAATTCTACTTCAGTGGGTATTTTTAAATTGATTACGATTGTCGGACATATTTTCGATCATTCTTTTACCAAAATCATAGACAACCTTTTTAAGAATCACTTCACTGCGCAAGATGGATAATTGAAATCATTTCACCACAGCTGTGAATTCTGCAAGAAAGACAAATAGTACAAATGAAAGGTCAATCCGTAAACTGACAGTTCTTTGCCAGCTTTATGTTTTGATTTTACATGGAGATTATTCTTTTTAAACTATTTAGATATTTATACCGCCCAAACGAAGTTTAGGGGGTATAAAGGAGTCACTCGGTGGTCGGTCGGTCCAGCCGTCCGTTGCATTTTCCTTGTCCAGAGCATAACTTGTAGACTAATGGTTGGAATTCAATATAACTTCATACAATGGTCAAGAACATTGAGAGGAAGTGCAGTGCACAAGAACCATAACTCCATCTTCACTAATTACAGAGTTATTGCCCTTTGTTACTTTTCCTTGTCCGGAGCATAACTTGAAAACTACTTGTTGGAATTCAAAACAAATTCATACAATGGTCAATCACAATAAGGGGAAGTGCAGTGCACAAGACCCATAACTCTATCTAAATTAATTACATAGTTATTGCCCTTTGTTACTTTTCCTTGTCCGGAGCATAACTTGAAAACTACTTGTTGGAATTCAAAAAAACTTCATACAATGGTCAAGCACAATTACAGAAAGTGCAGTGCACAAGAGCCATAACTCTATCTAAAGTAATTAAAGTTATTGCCCTTTGTTATTTTTCCATTGCTTTTTGTCCGGAGAATAACTTGAAAACTACTTGCTGGAATTCAATACAACTTCATACAATGATCAAGGACATTGAGAGGAAGTGCAGTGTAGAAGAACAATAACTTCATCTGTTATTGCCCTTTTTTAACTCGACAAAGTATATGGAGAGCTGTCCTACTCACCCCGGCGTCCGTGTCCGCGTCCAGATTTCAGATTAAAGTTTTGGTGCAGTAAAATATTTTTCAATATAACTTTGTCATTTCTTAAGGTATCAACTTCAAACTTCAAATATATGTACCTTATCATTGTCCCCATCTTATGTGACAAGGTTCATTACTCTAGCACCAATATTTTCAGATTTATCTACCCTTGAACTTAGAATTTTCCTCAAAAAATACTATTTTTTACTGTTACTTCTTTATTTCTTAAGGGATCAACCTCATACTTCAAATATATGTACCTTATCATCATCCCCATCTTATGTGACAAGGTTTATAACTCTAGCACCAATATTTTAAGATTTATCTACCCTTGAACTTAGAATTTTCCTTAAAAACTATTATTTTTTACTGTTACTTATTCATTTCGAAAGGGATCAACTTCATTCTTTAAATATATGTACCTTATCATCATCCACATCTTATGTGACAAGGTTCATAACTCTAGCACCAATATTGCAAGAATTATCTCCCCATAAACTTAGACTTTTTTACTCCAAAAATGTTATTTTTTACTATAACTTTTTTAGATATAAAGGTATCTACCTCAAACTTCAAATACTTATTCCTTATCATCAATTACATTTTGTGTGACAATGTTCATAACTCTTGAAGCAATATTTACAGATTAATCTCTCTTTGAACTTAGGATTTTCTTTAAGAAATAGTATAACTTCTTTACTTTTAAAGGTATCTTCTTCAAACTTCAAATATATATTTCTTATCATTACACACATGTTGTGTGACAATGTTCATAACTCTAGCGTGACTATTTCTAGAATTATTCCCCTTGATCTTGGAATTTATGTTAACAAATGTTGTTTTTTTGCTATAACTTAATACATAATTATACATAATTGATTTTTCTTTCATAGTTTTGTCCTCCTTACTGCATCCAGTATTTCATTAGTCGAGCTTTGCTGTCTCCTGTGACAGCTCTTGTTACTTTTCCTTGTCCGGAGCATAACTCGAAAACTACTATTTGGAATTCAATACAACTTCATACAATTGTCAAGCACTTTAAGAAGAATCGTAGTGCACAAGAACACTAACACCATTTTGACAAATTAAAGAGTTATTGCCCTTTGATACTTTTCCTTGTCCGGAGCATAACTTGTAAAGTACTGGTTTGAATTAAAAACAACTTCATACAATGGTCATGCACAATAAGAGGAAGTGCAGTGCACAAGAACCATAACTCTATTCAGAGTATTTGCCTTTTGTTACTTTTCCATTGCTTTTTTCTTGTCCAGAGCATAACTTGAAAACTACCAGTTGAAATTAAATACAATTTCATACAATGGTCAAGTATATTGAGAGAAAGCGCAGTGCACAGAAACCATAACTCTTTCTTGACTCATTTGATAGTTTTTTTGCCATTGTTACTTTTTATTGTCCAGTGCATAACTTGAAAATTAATGGTTGGAATTCAAAGGAACTTCATACAATGGTCAAGGGCAGTGAGATGAAGTGCAGTGCAGAAGAACCATAACTCTATTTGGACTAATTACAGTAATTGCCCTTTGTTACTTTTTTGTTCATTGCATAACTTGAAAACTAGTACTTGGAATTCAATACAACTTCATACAATGGTCAAGCGCAATGAGAGGAAGTGCAGTGTTCAATAAACATAATTCCAGCTTCAGTATTTGTAGTTATTGTCCTTTGTTCCTTTTCCTTGTCAAGTGCATAACCTAAAAAACTAATGTTAAGAATTCAATGAAACTTCATTCTATGGTCAAGCAAAATGAGAGGAAGTGCAGTGCTCAAGAAGGCAAACATTACTTTTTTTGGACTTATTACAGAGTAATTCAATAAAACTTCATCAATGGTCATCCACATTGAAAGGAAATACTACATACAAGACCCACAACTATCTTTAATTGCCAACAACCATAACTCTATGTCAGTTCTTTTGCAAGGTATTCTGTTACTAGTAACTTCCCTTTTGCAAGGTATTCTGTTACTT